AGCATTCTGGCTGTAATTTTAAAAAAATAACGGTGACTTGACTTGCTAGAAATATTCAGCACCAATAGTAAAGACTTCAGTCTTATCTGTGCTTAGTAAACACCTTAACACATACTATACTGTGTTTTGTTTTGGACATTAGGTCATCATATTACTGAAAACAAACAAAAGAAATCAACAGATTGCCTTTAAAAAACAATAATAATAAAAATAAAGTCAGAAAGTAATTTTCCTCAAAGTCATACAGCTCCTTGGTTAAGTCATAGATATGTATAATAAAGGCCTTTATTATGCATATCTATGGGTTAAGTAACATGTGGGCTGATAGAAGTGAACATTACTTCAGGTATGAATGCTTTTACCTGTAAAGTAGTCAAAGGTGTGCACGAGGTGGGCGTTTTCCTACCATTCAGCCAATCAGAGGTCAAGACCACATCAATCACCAATATAAGGGTTCTATGGAAACATTTCCCATCCATCATAATGTCTGCTTGTGTTTGAATCGTGTGGATTTAGGGTGTCACTACTGTAGGTTCCAAATAATGTCATTTCCTGCCTTTGTGTTCTGTTATCTACTCGCCCCAACTTTCTCCTTCCTTATTGTCCAGCGTCAGAACCAGAAATTCCTGCAGGGTTATGTAGGACTTTGACACCTCCTAGTCTGACTAACCTAGATATAAAATTATGTAAAAAAAAATATTATTCCTGGCCCGTTTATTTCTCCTGACACTCCTCGGAGCCTTTCAACTGTCTGTGGTAAATAGGTCAGTTAATATTGTAATGCCTCGATCCAGTGTTGTCATTAAGCCTTTATTTCCTAAAGTGATCCTTAAATCCTCCAATGAACTGCACGACTTCCAAACAAAACTGTGTTTGTAGATCTGTCAGAACGCCCTACTTAATCAAATGCATCTACTCTTCCATGAATCGCAAGTCCAAGACGCGCAGATCTTACCGTGTTCAGAACTTTGTTGAAGTACATGAAGCTGACCGCAACCGCGATGGTCTGCAGGAGGATCGCTGCCAGTGTGATGAGCCCCAGACACTGGACAGAAATAGAAATGGCCATATCACAGCGTGTAGATCCAACCCGACTGAGTCCACAGAGGAGCGAGAAAAGGCTTTCCAGCAGCAGGCAGGACAAGTCAGATCAAGCTCTGCTGCATTTCTGCTCTGGAGAGAAAGAAAGAAGGAGAGAGAGAGAGAGAGGAGGGAGGGAAAGAGTGCAGCAGCTTGTAGGTGGAGCAGAGAGGAGGTATATGGAGGATTAAAACAGCCTCAAGATGTCACTGTTATTAGACAGAAATGAGCAGGAAGCTTTGATACTGCACATGCAACTTCAGGATGCATTCAAGTGGCGTGGGAAATTAGACAATTTGTGTTTTATTTTGGAAATGATTGGGAAAATTAATGCAGAGTTCCATCAAAACTGAAGATATTCACTTCATGTTCACCACAGGGTCTTCATTAGTTGATAAACTGGTGACAAATTAAAGGAAAAACCAACTTAAGGTGTCTAAGTGTACTGTAGGCCAGAAGAGCTTTAAATGAGCATTGAATCTCTAAGTGTCCTGAGCTGTTCTGCTGGGGTGATAGAGCACCAGGCTTTCACAGAATGTTCCCTCATTTGGGTGTTTTGATGATGGCTGTGAAGAGTGATGTCTAAAATCCCCCATTGGTGGTGAACTGGCCTGCGCGCTGGTGACAGTGAAGATAATAACATATGATGCAAATCATTTTCATCACATCATTTAGTGAAGCTGCCTGTCCGATAAGATGCATTTTATTGATCCCTTATCAGGGAAAAATGCGTGTTACAACAGCTAGATACAGATGAGGCATGGAAGACACAAGTACAAAAGTACAAAGGGCTAAAAACAAAGATACATTAGAGACGATGTACAATGCATGATGAAATTGCACATGTGCATATATAACTTGGTGATTTTACAATCACAATATCTTGGCATCGGCCTTTACAACTGGATTCATTTGCTCGTTATTCTCAGGCAGGACTCCTTGAATGCAGCACAAATTGGTTTGTTGTTTTTACCTGTTTCATTCTCCAAATATGCTGCAGCTGATGGTATACACATGGATACATATATACATGTATGTACACATCCAACTACAATTCACCAAATGCCCCCTTCAATGACCACCTTCAATTTGACAGATGCTTTTTTTTTGTGGTGAATAGTGATGAGGTTTGACTATGTCCAAAATCTGGGCTCATATGTCACATTAGAGGGGCAGGATCGTGTCAATTTTAGTGTCCCAAATAGTTTGAAGGCATAGTAATATTCCATCCATCCATTATCTATACACCGCTTAATCCTCACTAGGGTCATGGGGGGCTGGAGTCTATCCCAGCTGACTCAGGGTGAAGGCAGGGGACACCCTGGACATGTCACCAGTCTATCACAGGGCTACACTTAGAGACAGACAACCAAGCACACTCACATTCACACCTACGGACAATTTAGAATCACCAATTAACCTCAACATGTTTTTGGACTTTGTGGGAGGAAGCTGGAGAACCTGGAGAGAACCCACGCTGCACGGGGAGAACATGGAGACTCCACGCAGAAAGATTCCGGTGCCCCCACCGGGATGTGAACCGGCAAGCATAGTAATCTTAGCGTATGTAAACTTCAGACTTTGAAGAAAGTAAGAAACAATTCTCTCAAAAAATTATCTATCATTGTTCTGGCATTTAGCAAATAGAAATAATTTTGGTAATCCTCACTGACTTAAAACAGGAAAAGTTTACTCACATTTAGTGTCAGATAGTGAGAAAAACAAAGGTTATCTGTCTTTTTGTACACTGTATGTAAACTAATGGTTTCAACTGTATATAAGGATGTGTCCCAAGTGAGTTGTTAAAGAAAGCTTTCATAAATAGTCTTTCTAAATGCATCACTCCGCCTGCTTTAGAGGTTCCGCACTGGGCCATAAAACAGGCAGAACAGATACCTAATAAGGGTTTAGATGTAAACATGACTTGCAAAAATCAGGAGATACAGAATGTAACCACACAGGAGACGATAACAGGGAAAATTATATTATATTTATTTATTTAATTTAACCTTTCTTTCACCAGGTAAGTTAGTTGAGAACTGGTTCAACGACCCGGTCAAGAGTCGGCATACAAATAGGATCAACAACAAAAACAGATTACATGTACAACAAATCACACAATATGACAAAACAAACTACGCAACGTGGTCGGTCTGATAGGAGGCTCTATGACGCACGTTGTGTCGTGTAAAGAATAAGTGGGAACGTTTTGCGGCCTTATAAGTTGCTCTGGAGACCAGCAAACTTACCAGAAGATTGCTGACTTTGCTCATTTTGTTTTTTTAAATTTGTTAGAATACTTTAGTGAATGAGTCAGAAATACTCCAAAAAAAGGGTTAAGGGTAGATTGGCTCAAACGCTGAGGTTGAGAATTTATTCTACTACTAGTAGTAGAATCAAAACTATCCCAATCAAAAGACACCACGTCTTACTAAACTTATAACAACCTCATGAAGTCTAAAGTAACATAAAAACCTAATAAAACTGAATTTATTGACATCTTTCTGTTCAAACTAGCTCTGTGTCTCCAATCACACTGCCCTGGCATCAGAGTTTACAACTGGATTAATTTACACAGTGTTCTCAGCTGGGATTCCTGCAGTGCAGAACAAATAGGTTTATTGTTTTGATTTGTTTTTTTTCTTTTTTTTTTAAGCATCTTTCAGTCTCCAAATGTGGAACACTTGAAAGTAGCACAAGTTAACTGTTCTGGCTGAACGAGGCGTTTAAGGAGAGCATAAGGGTCCTGGAAACAATCACTGGCAAACGCTGATGTGGTTCATGTTGTCTTTGTCCATGATGTAATTCATCCTTTCTACAATGCATTTAAACTGTTAAACAGCCGCAGATGAAGTCTGATAATTCACAACAAGCAGTGCGTTCTCTCATTCTCATTTAAAACATGATTTTAATCCTAATTTATCCTTTTTGCTGCAGATGAAAATAAGTCTGAATCAGTGTTGCTTGATCGAGGAAATTAAACAGTAATCGCTAGTACTCAGCACATGAGGCCTTGAACGCAGCATCAGTCTAACAATGCAGGGAACGTTTGGGTATCAGAGCAGGGCAGGTAGCACATCATCAGCTTCTGAAAGTTAGATGAAAAAGACCCTTTTTCTTCTCTTTCCTGCTATTGTGAGGTGATCTGAGAGAACGCTAGCCGATTAGCAGCCTGCCATTGTTAGGGTTCCAGCGTAGCCCTCCGTCACAGGGGAGTCATTCAATCTGCAGAACTTGACCCTGAATGATTCCTGGTGGTTCCTGTGCTTTCATTCCTTCACCTCTAACCCCTGCGCCATTGTCAATGCGAGGAAGTGAAAGTGCAGCCGAGGGAGTTCACAGCTCCTGCGTATGGGTTGACCCTCCCAAAAAATCCAAACTTGTGCCGAAGCAGGTAAAAACACACTCATATCTTACAGGTTTAAAGAGGCAGCTAGCGCCAGATTCATCTGAAGAGGTTGTCGGGCGTTTAAAGGAGAATAGCGTCAGATGAAAAGAGGGATTTTGTTTGTTTCCTTCGCTGATTAAAATCTCAAAATGCGGAACTGAAAGTTGATAAAGGGTTCCTGCGTTTCCCTAAGTGAGTCAATTCCCAGGCTCGTTAGAGAGAAGGAATGGAGAAGATGAGTGATATCTGAAGAGCGTTTGGCCTCAGGCATAGAAAATGACACCCTGAGAGACATGCCTGTCTACTGTCTCACAGCAAGCAGGCGTTTTAAAACTACACTTTCATCAATCTCTTTCCAGTTGTGTTATTGTTTTTTCTTCCTCTGAAGTTGAGTCAGCTGATGATCTTTGACCTCTGTCAGATACATCCACAAACGGCAGGCCCTGACTTGTTTTAATCATCTGGCATTTCAAAGCTTGCAGGAATAGATGTTTTAACAAATGTGCTTTTTTTTTTTTTTTGCTTAAGCTTCTGCGACTGAGATGGGACAGACTATGCATACAGCAGCTGTTTCTCAGGTTCTTCACAGTCAAAGCTTTATGGGAGAGTGGCAATGAAAGCCACTTTTGAAAGAGTTGACCAGAAGACAAATGGGAGACTGAAGTCACCTGAAAGAAGGTTCAAAATTGAGCTTTCTGGCCATCAGGCTGGACACTATGACACCAAACACTGCACATAATCGCAAACACAACATCCTCACTGTTGAAGCATGGTGGTGGCAGCATCATTAAGAAGGTTCTTGACCGCAGGTCCTGGAAGGCTTGTAAACGTAGAGGGTGAAATAAACGGAGCAAAGTATAGAGAAATCCTAAAAGACAAGCTGCAAGAGAACAATGACCTGAGAGAATTCTTGTTTTTCAGCAAGACAGGGACCAAAGTTACACAGACATGGTTTAAAGACTTCAAGGTGAAAGTTAGGGGGAAATTGCAGATGTGCAAGGCTGACTGAGACTTATCCTTTTACTGTTATTGCAGCTACAGGTGCATCTACTAAATACTGACCTGAAGGGGGTCAATACTTGTGCAATCACTTATTTTACATTTAATATTTTTAATTCACTGACATTATTTTGTAGAAATCTGTTTTCACTTTGTCATGAAACATTTCCATAAGTGTGTGTAAATTAAGTTCTTGTCATAAAAACAAAAACAAATAAAATTGATCATGATTCAATGTTAAAAAAAAGCAATAAAAGAGGAAAACTCCAAGGAGGGTGCATAGTTTGGGTACCGTAGATGAAAAGATCGCACTCAGCGAGGTGCCAGTTAGCATAGCTCACCATAATGACTGGAAATTAGGGAAGCCAGCTAGCCTGGTTTCATTCAAATGTCAATGTGCCTAAAGCAGCCTTTTAAGATAAATAACATGTTACATCTTACTTGTGTGGTCTTTACCAAAACCTAATAATTAAAATTGCATTGTTGAATAAACGCTAACCTTAGACCAGTTCAAAAACAGACTTGATTTAATACAAATGTTCTGGACTTTCACTGAAAAATCCTGAAAGCAGAACATGTCTTTGACACTAAAATGATCAAAACCGTCTTCCCCTCTGTGAGGAACACACAGCTGTGTAGAACTGTGAGAACATGATTCACGACAAACTGTTGAGGCTGAACTCCAAATCTGAAATCAGTTACCGAAAGAATGGGAAACAGAAAAGAAGAGGAAGAGCTGCCACTTCTCTGCAAATCAAAGCATTTTCTTTCTGAAGCAAAGGACTTGAATACCCAGAAGACATATAATTGATTTAAGGGACGCTCCGTCTTCAGCGTTCTTCCCTCCACTCCTGTTTTCACTCCTTCAAGGCTTCTCCTCCCTACGTTCCTCCGAGTAAAGTCATGGAATCTCCCCACATTCCCATCTGAGCGCGACAGCTGCTCATTGTCTCACGTATAAAACAAAGACTAGAGCCGAAAAATGCTCCAGCGACACAATGCAAGCGGGCCGCTGCCAATTACTTAGATGGCGTGTCAGCAGAACGGTGTTTCCCTGATAGGAAACTACTGTATGTGTGTGTGTTGCATAGAAACGGAGCCAAAACACACAAGTAACATTTAACTGACAATCTTTCATTCATATCACCCACAACCTTTAAAACAAACCATGTAATTACAGTTCAGCTTTCAGGATTGTCATAAAAAGTTGGTATTAAGGAACGATGTGTTTCACGCTTTGCAAATGCAGTTCAGTTCAGAGATTTCTGGAGGAACCTCAAATAACTCAAACAGGGTTCCTGAAGGATTCTTTTGTAAAGTTTGGTATACAGTAGGTCTAAGTGACACTTTACACCTACAATTACACTTTTTGGAATTTATTTTATTTTTAAATCTGAGTTTTGTTGTCCAATGTGCAAATCTTATCACCACTTTGCTTCATTTTATGACAAAGGAATAACAAGTGGCAAGTTTTTCCACCACTGATAATTCAAAAAAACATACCAAGAAATAACTTGAGGTCATATTTTTTGGCATTAAATTACAGAGCTCTATTGGAGATATTACTAAATGTAAGTTTTTGAGGCTGGTTTTGTATATTTAGGCAGATTAGGATCTAGTCTGACCTTCTAGGCTGCAGGAGCAGATCAGAAAATGCTGTTCTGTATTTGGTGTCTCACGTTAATGTGTGCTGATTGTCAGTTTTACCTACATAAGGTTGGAACCTTTCTGTCCAGGCAGGGTTTCTAAGTGGAAGGGGACAAACCAGGTTTGACTGCTGAGCTTCACGCGGAAATTTATCGCATGTATTGATGTTGGTTGGAAAGATGTATTTAAAAAGATTTGGACATCAAATAAAGACACTGTGTGCATCGTAAAGTAAAAGGAGTATGACTTTAATTCATTAGACATAATATAACGCGTCAATTAAGTTTTCCTGTTTGGATTCCCTCAGTGGCTTAAAGCATTGGCTTAGCCTCTACACAGACCTTTGTGATCTTCAAGTCTCCAGTGGATTTAGAAACATCTACGTTATTGTCCAATGTATTTTTCTTTGGAGTTCCTCAAAGAACCAGTTTGAACACAGAAGGTTCTTCCACAGTGGCTATGATGAGAAACCCCGAAAGGTTCCTCGAGGCTCTTCTATATCTAAAAGTGAGTGTTCAATCAGTAATAGTTGCAATATGTAAAGAAAAGAAACTCCAATACAAAAAAATTAAAGGCCTGCATTCAAAACGTTATTTTAAAAATACTTCAAATGTTGCACCTGATTTCTGTCTTACTGTTTGAAAGCTTAAATTATATTAGTGCGTGATAATCTATAAGCTGATAGCATGTTTTGTGTGTAAAATCTGGATCAGTCAAACAACTACATGTGTCAGACAAATGGAGTTGTCCAAAGTACAATAGTTGGCCCCTCATATATAAACAGCAGAAAATGAAACCGCTACTAAAGCATGGGTGCATATAAACTGCACTGAAGCAGTACACAGTAAATGTACTTAGTTACACTGCACCACTGGCATCACAGGAGCACTTTAACTACGCCAGAGTGCAGCAGGTTCATGTCGCTCTTCGTCCAACAGAGGGCAGTGTTGCATCGATGCTGCAGGATTTATTGACAGAAATGTACTCTGTTCCCTCCCCTGTTCAGGAACAATTGCATGTCTTGATCATGACAGTAATTGAAAGCATTTGCAGTTTTAAAGTTGTGGGTTTATGCATTCGTTTGTAATAGCAATGCAGAGCACACGTGCAACACAAATTTTGTGCGTCATCAAACCACACTGTTACTCACGTCCTGAGGTAACTATTTTACAAGCAGGTGTGTGTTCCTGGGCTGGTGGGGCTTCCACTTGTGTGTGTTTCTGATTAGCCAAAGAGGAAAACAAATGTTTTTTCTCACTTCTTTATGCGAAAAGAGCCTATGTAGAATATATTATTATCTGCATATATTCTATTAATGTATCCAGCTACTAAGGCGGCATATTTTAGCTACCGTTAGTGGATGAAGCCTTATTTGAATACATGGAGGTCCTGGAAATACTCAGGCGTAAAAACTTCTTTTTAAAAAAATTGAATTCTATTACAACTTTTTGTTCAATTTTCCCATAATTTTGAAAGAAACTTACAAGGTGCGCTCATTTTGTGTTTTTTTTTTTCCAGAGATCTGTTGAATTCAAGCTAAAATGTTTAAGCAGGACTTGTTTTTAAAATTTCAAAAAAAGATTGCAGGACAAGTTTTTCTACCTTTACGAGGCCAATATTGTCAATGTATTTGACCAAAAGTATTTAAAAAGCCAACAGTCAATCTGAATGTCAAAAGGTAATCTGGAAATGTCACTGATGAAGCACGCTCAGAAAAATCAGGATTGCCAAAAGTTAATAAATTACACCTTCTTACAAAACACTGACACATCCTGAACTTCACAGGATGTAACAGCGTATCTGAAAGAGGATTGTGTTTATTTTTTTGAGTAACCAGAACAAGCTGTTCTTCATGAGTTGTTTCTTTATTGACCCCCTTCATCAGTTCCCTCATAAATCCCAACCGTGGGCAGAACGGAGACACTGAGGACATTTGTGACCAACATGAAAAGATGTAACAATTAAATTTGGAAGTAAAACAACATCATTGGAAGCCCTTGATTCATGTACACACATGTTAGAAGATGTCCATGATGCTACTTTTAAGACATTGTAGGAGTGACTCAGCAGTCAGTGCTGATCCAGCACAGCAGATAGTGGCTTTTTGGAACAACTACTGACAATGTTCAGGCATCCATATAAAAAAACAAAACAAAAAAACATTCAATTCAGTAGAGAGCTGAGGGCAAATGCAGCAGGAAAGCTAATTGGAATGGAACTGGAAGGAGAATTTTGTTGGTGATTGTCAAGAGGAAGCAGGAAAGGCATCGCCTTCTTGTGATGCATGATACAGATACAGCTGTGCTTTGAGCTAAATTCTAATGCCAGCATGCTCACTAATGAGTTACCACCATGCTGATGCTAACAGAACCACACTCAGGCTTCAGTTTAGCATGCTAACACATGACATTCAGCACAAAGTACAGCTGAGGCAGATGGGAATTATATTATATTATTAATTATTATATTATATTGCAGGTGTATAAACATAAACCAAACTACTGTACACATTTATGATGATGGCGCTAGATAGTAAGATTTGCCAAAAGTTTGCTTGAAGTCTTTTTCATTCTGACACACAAATGCAAAAATACTGAACACTGTTGAAACTGAAAATGGCCCGGATTGCACTCCATTTTAAATATTTTAACACTGATAATATCTTAATTTGTAAAGTGTTCAGACAACATTTAACATGCTGGTGTTACATAACGAGTGTCTTTAAAAAAAAAAACAAAAGTGCTATAAACAGCTCAGACCACCGTGATCACAGATGTCTGTCTGGCGGCTCTGACCTGTTAATGCTTTTATTCTAAAAGCAAAGTTTAAAATCAATTTCAGCTCTTGGGACATTATTTGCTCATGTGGTTGTGTTCTGGATATGAATGAGTGTATTAATGTGGTGCTTCCCAGTGGAAGCAGCTGATTAATTAACCCATTAGTGGAAAAGCTTGTGGCTGTAAAAGTACTTTTATGCGTTTATTTTTATTCGTTGGTCACAGTGTTAGCTATGTTGTTGTTGCCAGCAGGCTGCTTTTAAATATCAGAAAAAAGTTCACATGTACTGAGTGTATACAGTACATGCGGGTACATGAAGGCCCTGAGCTGTTACATTTTTTGAACAAAGAGTACATTTACAAGCCCTTTAGCGAGTCACAAAGCGAGGGCTAGTGCATTTGTATAAGTGAAACACACGCACACATATGCATGCACGCATTACTCACGTGCACAAACACACACACACTCTTACAAATTGTTCTGCAGCCAGTTGATGTAACCCCTGAGCATCCTCTTTCCTACATCGAATTCCATCGGCCACATGGTAAAACTGAAACATCCGTGGAAGCCGTCCTCGTAGTGGTCGTTGGTAACTGTGACTCCCGCGTCCTGTAAGCGCCGAACGTACATCAGCCCTTCATCCCTCAACACGTCATACTCACACGTGACCACGTATGCACGAGGGCATTTAGCCAACACTTCGGGTCCGGCCAGCAGCGGCGATGACCGCACATCCAGCAGCCCCGGTATCTCCTTCAGAAGCTCGTGTGATCCTTTTTCCACAACGAGAGGCTTGTGGTTCTTCTTGTATTTCTGAGAAAGCAGGGTGGTCCAGTCTAGTCGTGACCTCAGCTCTGGGGTGATAGTTGAGTGCTGTGAGGCGCTGTGGTTGTTCACTAGCATTTGGGGCTGCAGCGAGAGGTCAGCGCCGAGGTACTGCAGCCAGAACTGCACCATTATGGGCCGGTGGAGGATTGGTATATGTTGGTTTTCTATGTAGGATGGAGTGTTGAAATCCAGAGCCTGGAGCACTGGGTAGATCAGAACCTGGACGCTGAATTTCACACTCGCACTGTCATCTATGGAAATCTGGGAAAGTATAAACACACATGAGGACTTGTGCAGTCACCTCTTGCATGATACAGTGCCTGTAAAAACTGTTAATCCCAATTTAAAGTTTAATTCCTTTTTT